TCTGGGATTTGGGAAGAGGTGACGTCAAGCACCAGCTCCATTCAGGAATTCACTCAAAATCGGGACTAGTCCTTCCATCCCTGAAAAAAAAAATAAAAAATAAAGGGAATTGATCACTTGGAAAGAACCTTTTGCAGCCCCTCGGGGGGGTGATCTGCAGAGGGGTGCTTTGGACCACCACCTGCTCTGGGCTTCCCCATCTCAGAGCATCATTATTTCCACGGCTTTGCATAACTTCCCTTAAAAAAATTAATATATATATATAAAAATGCAATAAACCTTGAATTTCCTGGCAAATAATAAAGGACTTTATGGAAAACCTGGGGTCTGTGCTTACCTGAAGTGACACGACCAAGCCCGCCAGGGTTTCCAGCAGTGTGGGGTGGGTGGAGATGGGAAATCCCTTTTTCCCCACGGGTACATTTTCCCGAGGCACAAATCCTTTAGCCAAACCCTCAAATGTGGGTGTAACGTGGGGAATTTGGGCAGAATTCATTCATTCTGCTGAACGTCCTGCTCCTCACTAAACCCCCTGCCCTGGGATGCTCCTCTCTTGCCCCGCGCGGGGAGAAAATCCAAATTAAGTGCAGAAAGGTGAATATTCGACTCCATCCATCACCATGAATGTTCCTTGTTTGTTGTGTGGGTGTCTATTTTTGTCAGTTAGGTTGATGGTTGGACAAGATGATCTTTAAGGTCCCTTCCAACCTAGAAGATTCTGTGATTCTATGAATGATCCAGTGGCCCTTGTGCCCCGGAGTTAATTGCAATTTTGTGGCCGTGCCGTGGAAAAGCTGCTCCCTGGAAGAGGAGCCTTCCTCCTCCCGCCGTGACCTCGCTCACCTTCGCGTTATCGTTGCCGACTGCCGGGGTAATGATTTTGTTTTTAATTAGCGTCCCCGGCATGGCCTGCTGTTTGGCCAGGGGAGGTCAGCTGGCACAGCAGCATCCAGCACCCCACCCCGCTCCTTCCTCCACCTAACGAGGAAAACAGCCCCTGGGCTCCAGAGCGGGGGAAAAATAAGCTGGTTTTAATGGAATTGAAGAGAAAGTGGGAGATGAATGCGCCCCGTGCCTCTGGGAGTGAGGGAGGTGGGATGGAGGTGGTGGAGGTGGGATGGAGATGGGATGGAAGTGACAGAAGGTGATAGATGGAGGTTTGGGAGAACATTTGCCAGCAGTGACAGGAGCGGTGGAGACGTGCCAGTGGGCGTGTAGCAGCCGCCATGGCAGTGAGATGGAGAAGTGATGGAGGTGTGACAGAGGTGATAGATGGGAGATGGAGGTGTTGGAGGTAGGATGGAGGTGGGAGGGAGGTGATAAAAGTGGGATGGAGGTGATGGAGGTGGGACGGAGGTGATAAAAGTGGGATGGAGGTGATGGAGGTGGGATGGAGGTGATGGAGGTGGGATGGAGGAGATGGAGGTGGGATGGAGGTGATGGAGGTGGGATGGAGGTGATGGAAGTGGGATGGAGGAGATGGAGGTGGGATGGAGGTGATGGAGGTGTTGGAGGTAGGATGGAGGTGTGATGGAGTTGTTGGAGGTGGGATGGGGGTGTGATGGAGGAGATGGAAGTGTGATCGAGGTGATGGAGGTGGGCTGGGGATGGGATGGAAGTGACAGAAGGTGATAGAAGGGTGATGGAGGTGTGACGGAGGTTTGGGAGAACATTTGCCAGCAGTGACAGGAGCGGTGGAGACGTGCCAGTGGGCGTGTAGCAGCCGCCATGGCGGTGTGATGGAGAAGTGATGGAGGTGTGACAGAGGTGATAGACAGGGGATGGAGGTGTTGGAGGTAGGATGGAGGTGGGATGGAGGTGATGGAGGTGTGACAGAGGTGATGGAGGTGTGAAGGAGGTGTGATGGAGGTGATGGAGGTGGGATGGAGGTGATGGTTCATGGAATGGAAGTGATAGAGGTGTGACAGGTGATGGAGGTGGGATGAGATGATGGAGGTGATGGAGGTGGGATGGAGGTGATGGAGGTAGGATGGAGGTGATGGAGGTATGACGGAGGTGACAGAGGTGTGATGGAGGTGGGATGGAGATGTGGTGGAGGTGATGGAGGTGGCGGAGGTGACGGAGGTGTGATGGAGGTGTGACGGAGGTGTGATGGAGGAGATGGAGGTGGGATGGAGATGTGATGAAGGTGATGGAGGTGGGTTGGAGGTGGGATGGAGGTGATGGAGGCGATGGAGGTGTGATGGAGGTGTGATGGATGTGTGATGGAGGTGTGATGGAGGTGATGGAGGCGATGGAGGTGGGATGGAGATGTGATGGAGGTGTGATGGAGGTGATGGAGGTGGGATGGAGGTGGGATGGAGGTGATAGAGGTGGGATGGAGGTGACGGAGGTGGGATGGAGGTGATGGAGGCAATGGGGATGTGATGGAGGTGATGGAGATGGGATAGAGGTGGGATGAAGGTAGTGGAGGCGATGGAGATTTGGCAGAGGTGATGGAGGTGTGATGGAGGTGATGGAGGTGTGATGAAGGTGATAGAGGTGGGATGGAAGTGGGATGGAGGTGATAGAGGTGGGATGGAGGGGATGGAGGTGTGACGGAGGTTATGGCCATGGGATGGAGGTGATGGAGGTGTGACAGAGGTGATGGAGGTATGAGGGAGGTGAGAGAGGTGTGATGGAGGTGTGATGGAAGTGATGGAGGCGATGGCAATGATGGAGGTGTGACGGAGGGTATTGAGGTGATGGAGGTGTGATGGAGGTGATGGAGGTAGGATGGAGGTGATGGAGGTATGACGGAGGTGACAGAGGTGTGATGGAGGTGGGATGGAGATGTGGTGGAGGTGATGGAGGTGGCGGAGGTGACGGAGGTGTGATGGAGGTGTGACGGAGGTGTGATGGAGGAGATGGAGGTGGGATGGAGATGTGATGAAGGTGATGGAGGTGGGTTGGAGGTGGGATGGAGGTGATGGAGGCGATGGAGGTGTGATGGAGGTGTGATGGATGTGTGATGGAGGTGTGATGGAGGTGATGGAGGCGATGGAGGTGGGATGGAGATGTGATGGAGGTGTGATGGAGGTGATGGAGGTGGGATGGAGGTGGGATGGAGGTGATAGAGGTGGGATGGAGGTGACGGAGGTGGGATGGAGGTGATGGAGGCACTGGAGGTGTGACAGAGGCGATAGAGGTGTGATGCAGGTGATAGGGGTGGGATGGAGGTGATGGAGGTAGGATGGAGGTGTGCCAGCGGTGCCGGAGGCGCGGCAGCGGTCGGAGAGGCGGTGGCGGAGGGACACAGCGGGACCGGTGAGGGAGCACGGAGCCACTGCGCATGCGCCAGGCCTCCGAGTCCTCCGCGCCTCTCTATGGTCACCCGCGCTGGCTGGAGCGCCGCCGCCGGGGAAGGGGAAGGGAGGGGGGCGGGCAGGAAGTGACGTCAGCGCCGAGCGTCGCTGAGGCGGAGGGGCCGCGGCGGAGGCGGGCGGGCAGCGGTGGGTGCAGGTGAGGAGGGGGCGGCTCTCTTCGCCGGTCACTCTCCACGGGGGAGGGTCGGGGGGGG